GGACATCAGATCCTTAAAAGGATATAAGACCACAGATGCTTCATTTTTAATGATCCCTAATACATTAAATGACTGTAATTCATTTAAACAGTCCCCTAGTCATAAACATTTAGGCTGGTTACTGAATGATTTTGTCCAAGTGTATAACATTTATATATTCAGCTTAGCAGAGTTATAAAGTGAATGCCTGTATAAAGCAACATCCAGGCCAAGAACTAGAACTTACCAGCACTTCAGGGGTCCCCTGACTGTGGACCCCAGTCCCACACACTCCTGATCACAAGTCCCTTCCCCCATCCCAATGGTGACTGACTGCTAGGCTGGCTCTTTATATTTTTACCACTTTTGCACATATTACAATAGCTCAATTTTGCCTTTTTGCGGGGAGCCTAACAAGTAGAATCATGATATACTGTTAAGCAATTATTGACGTGGAATGTACACACAGAATAGAGCACAGTCACAGCCTAAGGCCGTCAGTTGTCACAAGAACACACACTCTGGCCACCACCAAGTGCATATCCTCTCATATCTGCTTTTTCTGCTCAACACTGTGTCCATAAGAGCCATCGTATCATTGTGTGTAGCTGTACTTTGTTCTTTTCATCACTGCGTCGGATTTATTTATTCCCCCTAAAATGCCTTTCCTTCGTGCTCTAAGACAGGTGTCTCTGCTTGCTAAAAATTTGGCTCAAAATTCTGGGGAAGCAGCATCTCATGAGATTCACCTCCACTCGGAGAGCTCCAGGATTCTGCATCTCCGCATTGCACGTGGTGCTTGAGTATAAACAACCAATCAGAGACCTACAGCTTTTGGATCTGAGGGTTTGGACAGAGTTTAAAGGTCACTTGTGCAAATATCTAAACAGACATGAATCTCCTTTACAGCTTTCCGAATAAAAGCTTATCCAGCCTCTGTCTGTTTCTCTGTAGAGAAGAGAAATTCTTTCCTTCAGAGCATAATCAGCATAGTAATTTCATCAGGTGCTTTGAATTCAGGTCATTTCAAGGATGCTTTACTGTCCCCGCAGGACACAGACTAGGTCTTCAGTTGAACATTTTTTAAAAGCTTACTGTATACACCCAGGTAGCGTGACATCCAAGTCTGTGCAACTCACAAAGCCAAATGAGGGGCCCTGAAAATGCTGGTCCTTACCATTAAGACGCAGTGGTCAGAATAACCTCACATTTGCACCAACCATGATACGTGGAATTTCAAACTTATGTGATTGATGGAGTGCCAATTCATGTGTCAGAATCCAAAGCACTTTTTAGGTCATGGATTGTCTGGCAGCCACAGCAATCACAAAGAGAGAACTTTAAATTAGGCTCTACTGAATATTCAAAAGACCAAACAAGGAAAAAGGACAGGCGTGGAATAGGCTGTGGAATGAGGCAAATATTTTCTCCCATCCAGCAGGTTGTCTTTTCAGTTCCTTTGCTGTGCAAAACTTTCAAGTTTAATTAGGTCCCATTTGTGTATGTTTGCTTTTATTTCTTTTATTGAAGAGACAGATCCAAACAAATATTGCTGCAATTTACATCAAGGAGTGTCTACTGTGTTTTCCTCTAGGAGGAAATCTGGTCTTACATTTAGGTCTGGAATCCATTTTGAGTTTGTTTTTGTATATGGTGTTAGAGAATGTTCTAATGTCTTTCTTTTACATGTAGCTGTACAGTTTTCCAGGACCACTTATCAAAGAGACTGTCTTTTCTCCATCATGTATTCATACTTCTTTTGCTGTAGATTAATTGACCATGTAAGTGTGGGTTCATTTCTGGGCTCTGCATTCTGTTCCACTGTTCTACATGTCTGATTTGTGTCCGTGCCATACTGTTTTGATGACTGTAGCTTTGTAGTACAGTCTGAAGTCAGGGAGTGTGATTCCTCCAGTTCTGTTCTTCTTTCTCAAGATTGCCTTGGCTATTCTGGGCCTTTTGCATTTCCATGTAAATTTTAAAATCAGTTGTACTAGTTCCGTGAAAAATGCCATTGGTAATTTGACAGGGATTGCACTGAATCTGTGGGTTGCCTTGGGTAGCGTGGGCATTTTAACAACATTGATTCTTCCAATCCAAGAACATGGTGTATGTTTCCATCTGTTTGTGTCATCTACAATTTCTTTCATCAATGTCTTTTAGCTTTTGGAATACAGGTCTTTTGCCTCCTTAGGTAGGCTTATTCCTAGGTATTTTATTCTTATTGATGTGATGGTAAATGGG